GGGCCGGCCAGGCCTCACCCGGCTGCCGCCAGTCCGGCGGCCGGGTTGCCCCGGGCGTGCTCTGCTACACTCACATCCGTCGCCAGCAGCTCCTCGCTGTCGTCAATACTGGCAACGGTGACTTCTCCTTGGCTCACGTAGGGGAAGTCGTAGGGGTTGGTGGAGATAAGGAGGAGATCTGCAGGTATAGAGGTGTGCTGGGTTTGGGTGTCCTGGGCACTTTTTATGGCACCAGGGACAGGTTACAGTGGAAAGAGCTGAGAAATGCTCAACACCGCTGGCACGCACCAATAAGCTCCGGCTTCTTGTTGGACATTATCTGGTAAAAAATATGATAGCTCCTTTCACTGGCCAGCTGGAAAGTCACTCTGGATTTCTCCAGAAGATCTAACCAAAAGAGAGATGATGTTAGTCTTCTGGTAAACTTGAGATCATAAAGGCTCAAATTCTGCATGCACTGACTTGCTCAAACTCACAGGTTTCGATATCTGCAGAGGCTAGCTTGCCTGTTGTTCCAAAGTGAATCCGAATGAATTTACCCTATCAAGCAGTACAGGTCAAGCCATTGGTTATAGCCATCAATCAATAAGACATGTATTAGATGTCTGCATTCCAACAAATCTGAAATAAACTCACAAAACGTGAGGAGTTGTCATTCCTCACAGTCTTGGCATTGCCAAAGGCCTCCAGCAGGGGGTTGGCCTGGATGATCTGATCCTCCAGAGTTCCCTAGTTACAGGAGAAAAAGCTTTTTATCAAACTTCACTACTGGTTAATAATAAATATTGCAAAGGAGATATTACGAACAGATCAGTTTTACACCCCATACATTATTTTAACCTAAAATTTAGCAGAGTTTTTAAGCCATCACTCATTAATATTGCCATTAGTTTCAAAGGGAAAAGCGCTGAAAGACAGGTTTGTATTTTCTTTCTTTCTTGTACCTGATATCGTAAATATGGGGCATCATATACAGAGTCACTACAGTGGAGCTCAGGGAGTTTGCAATCTGTATGAGAGAGGTGCTCCACATTCCCTTTCACAAAAGCCATGACAGCTAAAGAAAATATGAAAATTCTGGGATTTTTTCTAGAGGTTACTTGAGTCCAGGATACTACAGTCTTTAGTACAAAGCACCTAGCAAGGGAGAATGTAAAGTTCTGCAATTGCATTCAAACAATCAGCTACCTTTCAGAATGCAGAAATACATCTCCAGACATGCTTTGAAGATTGGGACATGAAGAAAGCCTGAGACTCAAATACCAAACTTAAAGAGGCAGAGAACAGAACCTTTCTGAGTTTTTGCTGTATGACTGCAGAAGGAATGATCAACATGTAAAGTTCTGATATTGTATTGTATTATTCTTGTTAACTGAAAAAATATGGGAGGAAGTAAGTTGCAGTGCCATTATGTCTCTCCCTTTCTGTGCAATACAGTACAGGAAGCAGAATCAGCATGTGCTTTCCTTTTTTTGGAATGATCGAGCAAAGCTTTTCTCAAGGCTTCTAACAAAGTCATGATTGATCCCTACATTGTCAGGTCATGAAATTTTTGCTGGGGATAATTTCCAAAACAGAGGTGGAAAGCAAAGTATGAGAAAAAAAAAAACACCAAAAACAAAACCAACAGTTTTATCCAGACAAAAGATGAGTTGAAATTGTTGCATTTTTGTACGTGTTCAGTGCAGCTTTTAACGTCTTGCACTGAAGAGGGAGTGCCATTCCCAACACTGTCTGCAGGTGGCACAATGGGTTTAAATTAATTTTTATTTAAAAAATAAAGATGTACCCTATAAAATGAAAGCACCACAGTAGCATATGAAGGTCTCTCCCCATTTTTTTTGTTTTTGTTTTTGTGTTTTTTTTAAACATAAAAAATCCCAAATCCCTGGAGCAATACCCACTTACATGTATCTTTCAGCTTTGTGAGAGGAGAGGAGAGAAGAGAAGAGAAGAGAAGAGAAGAGAAGAGAAGAGAAGAGAAGAGAAGAGAAGAGAAGAGAAGAGAAGAGAAGAGAAGAGAAGAGAAGAGAAGAGAAGAGAAGAGAAGAGAAGAGAAGAGAAGAGAAGAGAAGAGAAGAGAAGAGAAGAGAAGAGAAGAGAAGAGAAGAGAAGAGAAGAGAAGAGAAGAGAAGAGAAGAGAAGAGAAGAGAAGAGAAGAGAAGAGAAGAGAAGAGAAGAGAAGAGAAGAGAAGAGAAGAGAAGAGAAGAGAAGAGAAGAGAAGAGAAGAGAAGAGAAGAGAAGAGAAGAGAAGAGAAGAGAAGAGAAGAGAAGAGAAGAGAAGAGAAGAGAAGAGAAGAGAAGAGAAGAGAAGAAGAGAGAAGAGAACGTGTGTGTCAGTGCAGCTGACTACCCCAACACAAAAACTGTTTTTAGTACAAGGCTGTGACTAGTGAACTCACAAGGGAGCATTGGTGTATGGAGTACAGCATGGAAGAAGATACAGCAATTCCTTACAGAAGTTCATCCTGGAGTCCTGTGTACAGGCTGGGTAACAAAGTACTAGAAGCTGAGTCAGTATTCTGGGGATATGCTCTTACATGCTTCCCTTATTATATACTCTTGTCTGGCATCTGATTTCAGCTTGCATCTGAGATAGGATGCTGGGCTAGATGGAACTATAACCTGAGTGTTTTATTTAATGTTCTTTTAAAGAGGAACATACTACTGTTACAGAGTCTGTAATTACTAAAAAAATAGAGTATTCTGTGAATAAACTCAGAAAAGGGCAGAACAGGTTGTTGTCCATCTGTGAGCCAGGTGATTTTTCTTATATCAGTCATAGTCAGTACATCTCTCAGCTGTCTCAAAGATTTTCTGAGATCAGTCCTGTGATACTGAGCAGCTGGTGAAAGCTGAGCCTATAA